GGACACCCCTCGTCCTGAGCTGCCCCATCCCTGACGTGCCCGTGCCCTCCATCACCTGGCTGAAGGATGGGATCCCTCTGGGTATGTGCACAGGGGGACACTGTGCCAGGCTGCCGTCCCCAGCCTCACTGCTGCCCTGCACAAGTTTCCCAATTTCTGATCCTGTTCTGAGAGAACTCCTCAGGGGAGGAGGCAGAGCACGAAGGGGCCGGCGCTTTTCCTGCATGTTTCCAAGAGGCTTCAGTTTCCTTCCGGAGGCTGGAGCAACGGCATGTGGGCATGGGATGCAATGGAGGGATGTGGGCTGACCCCTGTGGGTACCAGCCCTTGGGGTACCTGCTGGGATGGGGGTTTTCCCCCAAACTGGTGACTCTTTTCTCCTGCAAAGCTCCAGCAATGCATGGTGCAAGCACCCTGCTCTGCAGACTCCCCTGTCCGCTTCAACCAATTCCCTCAACTTGGGTCCTGGGGCTGGGAAGGGGGCTGTGACACTGTGCCTGGGAATGGCTCAGTGGAGGAGCGCTGCTGCATCCCCCTTCAACCCGTCTCCTCGCAGAGAACAGCCCGGAGCAGGGCCTGGTGTCCGTGGGGGGCCAGCTCCAGCTCAGCCCCCTGCAGCCCTCCCACCGGGGCCGGTACAGCTGCCTGGCGCGGGGCGCGGGCATCACAGCGCGCAAGGACTTCGTGGTGCTGGTGCGAGGTAGGGCTTCCCCAGGAGGGTGGGGGTCCCCGGGGAGCCTTCCTCCCCCTCCTCTTCCTCAGCTTCCATCTCTTCTCGACCCAGTGGCACCCCGGATCACCAACGCAGGGTACCCCAGTGAGCACAGCGTGCTGGAGGGCAAAGGGGTGAGGCTGGAGTGCCGGGCGGAGGGGCAGCCCACCCCCCACATCTCCTGGCTGAAGGATGGGCAGCCCCTGGGGGTGCAGCCCCCTTCACACTCCCGGTGAGTCTGGAGTGGGGGGGACTGTCCCATGGGGTTAGTGATGGCACAACCCCATCCGTGCCTCAGTTTCCCTATATGCAAAAGAGCAGTACAAGGCAGGCTGAGCTCTGCTGCTTCTCCCCCTGCTCCCTGCCGCTGCTGGGACATACTCACCCCAGCTGGGTGCTGGGGAGCATCATCCCAGGTTA